CCTGGTTTTTCGGTCCAAAAGGTCCAAATCAGCTTGTGTCCAGTTAACTATGCCAGCTGTGTATCTTATAACTATTGTTAGATTATAATAATAATCTATAAGATTATAAGATTATTATTATTATTATTATTATTATTATTATTATTATTATTATTATTTGCTTTCTTGGAAGATTAATGTAGATTAATCTAGTTTAATGAAAAGAAGGACTATAGGTGACATGATAGCAGTGTTCCCATATCTCAGAGAGAGATGTCAAGCTATTCTCCAAAGCACCTGAGGGTAGGACAAGAAGCAATGGGTGGAAATTAATCAAGGAAAGAAGCAATTTAGGACTAAGGAGAAATTTCCTGACAGTTAGAACAATTAATCAGTGGAACAACTTGCCTCCAGAAGTTGTAAATGCTCCAACACTGAAAGCTTTTAAGAAGAGATTGGATAATCACTTGTCTGAAGTGATGTAGCCTTTTCCTGCCTAAGCAGGGGGTTGGACTAGAAGACCTCCAAGATCCCTTCCAATTCTGTTATTCTATTCTATTTTCTATTTTATGATGTGGAAAGCTATACTTGAAGTACCACTAACAATTTATAACTTGATCTTGTTTGGAGAAGCAGGGGAGCGCAGCTATCGTATACCCTTGACCAAAGATCGGTACACTCCTTCTATTTGGGATGGGTGTCCTCTTCTGGAGGGACACACATGGAGCGGTGGGGGAGGAAGGGGACACCCGCCTAGCCATCCAGATCAGCCGAATCAACCCTGGCGATCAATGGGTGACAGATGTCGCAGCCAGATCGCCCTCACATCCAACAATTTATAACTATTCTAGGGATCACTGGGTTTTAAAATATGAATTGTAATACTTTATGCCAGAAGCAAAAGGGTGATTCATATAAAATATAATGCAGGACAGTTTTCATTAGGGCAGTCTGTGTTTGCTGGACCACGACTTCCAACTCCACAACTGAAAAGCAGACTTTTCAAAAGCAGTCAGAGATGCGATGCCAGTAACCTAGTCGCCTAAGCCTGGGGATCCTGCAGGAAGAACAGTTGGGAGTTTTGGGGGAAAGAAGAAAAAGAGAAAATCACTCCAAAGTCCCTGTATTATGCGAAGAAAAGCCTGAAAGCAAAACAACCCGCAGCGTGATATGCTTAAACACTACAGTACCTTCCCCGGACCAGACCCCGCCGATCGTCCTCGAAGACCCGCCGACCAAGCTAACCGAAAGCCACACTCTGCCTCTTGCGCCGCTTCAAATGAGCCGCCAAAGCAAGCCGTCTCGGGCGCTACTATTCTGCAGAATACAAAGGGGGGCAGAGGAGACGGAGAAAGACAAGAGAGGCTTCGATACTGAACCGGTGATAGGTCTTCTTTTTTTATGGGTGACGTTACATTAAGTTTTACACTACTCGGCCACAAAGCATTTCTGCAGCGCAGCATAATGGGCCTAGAAACACTTTTCTCCACTTCATATCTCCCATTTTAGCTCTATCAGATAGTTCGATCCAACTGTGCCGGGGGGGGGGGTGGGGGGGGGAGGATCCGACTAGGAAAAGGAGAACATAGAGCTTCAAAATATTGAAGAGTGACTTAACATATGAACTTCCGCTAAAAAATATACTCACAGAGCCAGGCATTTGTACAAATTAGAGACTCAGGTTGGGTGGAGAAGCGTATTGAGCCTACCTGAACTTATCGCCACCACCCATTAACACTTCAGAGTTTCTCCGTCTTGCGTCTTTTTCAAGAGAAACCCAAATCTAATAGAATAGCCGCTTTCGATACGCTAAGCTAATGTGGACTTCAACTCCCAGAATTCCCCAGGTAGCATGGCGGAAGTGGCGAGGGGGAAAAGGGGGGACGACGAGCAACAGTTGTGGCCACGCTGGGCGCCGTGTTGGGTGGCAAAAGGGCACGTCTCGAAGTGCGGGATCGCGGTGACTGGATTTCCCCCCCCCGCGACTAAGTCCGTTGCGTTTAGTGGTGAGTTACAGTGAGGGTTGGTGGCCAGTTTCCGTCGTAGTGTTCGGACATCGCTCCCCAATGCAAAGCAAGGTTAGCAGATCTGAAATGCATAAATCCCGGCGACCGCTAGATGGCGGCAGCGAGAGGGGGCCCTATTTCTCTTCTGTGCTTCCACTTCAAAGCCGTGCGGATCTTTACAGTTCGGATGTGGTAGTCCAAGGCAGATAGATCACTCTCAGAGTTTTAAATTTAAAAGGTGAGGCTTTTAAATAGCCCGAGCGGGGTCGTTCCAGCTTATAAAGGCAGCATCAGCAGGCTTCTGTCTGGTTGAGGTTGCGGCTGTGGACATTCTGACGATTTTAAACCTAGAAGGGCTCAGTTTTGAAAAGATAAGCTTCACAGCAGGGTTGATGACTTCTGAAGGAGAATATTTGTAGCTCAGGGTTGAAGTTTTTCCCCCCAAATGTTTCCCCCCCCCCCCGAATGCCATCACTCTGCTTAACAACTAATTCCCACAACACTGTCAAATAATTTATTAAGACTGTATTACTGTTATTCTTCTCTTCCTTACTAGTATCTATCTCTTCCAACGTATTACTATAATCATATGGCTTGTATCTTTTAATTTATATTGTTTTTATTTATTTCCTAATACGATTTGATAGCTTATTAGTAACTTTGACTGTCACTAAGTGTTGTATCTTTTTATTCTTGAGTAATGTATTTTATTTTTTCTTTATGTACACTGAGAGCATATACACCAAAGACAAATTCCTTGGGTGTCCAATCACACTTGGCCAATAAAGAATTCTATATCTATTCTATTCTATTCTAAATGAGCAGTCTTTGGTGCTCTCTCAGCTTGCTTGTTTTCTTGCAGATGTTTTATTAACTAACTAGGTAACATCACCAGTGCTGATGATGTTATCTACTTTGGGTAATGAAACCTGGGCAACAAAATAAACAAGCTCAAAGAGCACCAAGGACCCCCTCACCCATGACTTTTGCAAAAAATTTAAACTGTTGAAGATTTGAATAGGTTGAGCTAATTACTCTGTTTAGAATTCTGCTTCAATACTAGGATGCTTTTTATTTTTTTTATTTATAAATCCAAATGCTGTCCATCTTGTGTAAAGGCAACTCTAGGTGCCTTACAACCAAATAAAAGCAACACGATAAAACATTAAAATAATATTTGTATTAAAATTTATATTAAAAAGAGTCAATTTATTTATACTGTTTATGTGAATGATCATCAGAAACTTTTTTTTTTACTGTCCCAGCCTACCTCTTCTTAGCTTGAATTATGGCTGTCTCCTCTTTGCTATTTTCTTTCCGTTATTTTAACTTAAGTTCCAAAACCTATAGTTCATTCATAACAGTAAATGAAATCTCTTAAAGCAACATTGAACATTAAATAGATTTTTTTCTCTTCGTGGTCACACATAGGAGCAATGGACAAGTTGGCATTTTGTTTGTAATTCTTTCTGTGTATGTAGGTGTGTGTGTGTATGTATGTGTGTGTATGTATGTATGTGTATATATATATCACTGAATTGTGGTTAATGTATGGTTAATATAGTGCAGAAGTGATATAACAGGGTTACATCATCAATAAGTTGTTTATAACACAGAGTATCATACTAATTCTTAACAGATAGTCAAGGGTTAGAAAATTATCATAAAACAAATATTAAACTGAAGACCTTACAAAACTTTATGACCTGGATTGCCCTGAAGATATTTTGTACCACAGTAATTCTTAATATTGTTCACAATATTTTGTTGTTGCTATGATCTTTTCATTTTACAGAGAAGTTGTAGCTGAAAGGACATTTGTTGAATTTTTGACTATGGAACAAATCTCATTGGCAAGACGACTATACATTGGAGGACTTGGTCATACAGTTTCTGAAGATGAACTATATGAAAGATTTAGCAAGTTTGGAAATGTTACAGAAACTGAAATCATTAGCCGGAAGGATGAGCATGGTAATACTTTAAAATTGCTTAAAAATAATTTCATCCACTTTGTAATGGCAGTTCTAGGCAGTCAGATATAAGCTCTATTGCTCAGATATACTGCTAAGAAAATATATACTCAATTCTGCTGTTACTTATTTCTGTTTTACTTTTGGCAATGATCACATATTTATTTTAAACAATTTGAAAATCAGTTTTTTTTTCTTTTTTGAATAATCAGATCGTTATTTTTAAACAGGGAATCCTACCAAGACATTTGCATACCTTAACATCCTCCTTTCAGAAAAAGAGCTTAAAAAATGTAAGTATACAAACTGTGAATGCTGTTTTTGGTTCTTGTGAATGAAAGAACCAAAACTTGTTAATCATATTAAAATCTCTGGACATGAAAAGTCTGATGAAGTTCACAACCTTTTTTTTTAGTTGTATTGTGGAACTCTTAATCAATAGGTTATTTATCTTTAGTTTTAGTGCAAGTTGCCATAAACATTTCTGTATTTATGTGCATCCTATTGATAAGGGCAAGAGAGTACCATATACATATCTTTCAAATAACCCTTTAACACAAAGGTCCCCAACCTCTGAGCGGTGACCTGTTAACAACATGCCATGCAGATGGTGGGCCAGCACGCATGCATGGATGTATGTGCAGATTGACTTGAACAAACCGTGGGACGATGTGCCTGCAGATGTGCACGCAGTTCAACTTGCACAAGTCAAACTGCATGTGCATATATGTGCACACCAGCCCGCCGCCTGCACAGCCAGATTCCCCTCCCCTCTCCCTTCCACTGGGCCACTAAGCCACAAAAGTTGGGGACCGTTGCTCTAACACACTGTTTGCTGCAACATCTCCAATATTTAACTGAATATCTCCTATCTCCTTATGTGGTCATGCTCCACCCTACTCCTTTATGGATATCAGCTTTCCAAGCATGCTTAAGCAATTGTCCTTCAAAATCTGAAATATTTTCTTCTTATCATGCTAGGCATTCTCTTTTCCCATTCTCCAAATGAGAAAATTTCCCATGAGATTGAATCCAGCACTATATTTCCCAAATGACTGCTCCTTGTTCTTCTCTTTGAGTCAACCCAGAATTTGTGGCTTATAATGTTTTAATAATGAGCAGAATAATCACTTGATCTTTTTTGTCTTTAAAGGTATATCGATTTTAAATAAGACAAAATGGAAAGGTGGGACACTGCAAATCGAATTAGCAAAAGAGAGCTTCTTACACAGGTAGTACTTAACATATTGTATACAGCTTCTGGTGGAAACCATTGAGTTTTGCATACATGTTAGCAAATAAAGATTTTTTCACAGAAAGATATAATTTCATCTTTATAAGTAGTTCAGGCAGAATCCAATTGTATGTTTCCATTAGTGGCAGGAAACAGGATGGAAGCACTTAGTCCCAGTAATCCTACATTTATCTCACATTCTAGTATTGAGTCTCCCTCAATTCTTTGAAACAGATTTGGAGGGATCATGGAGAACTGAAGAATGGAAGAGTATACTTGTCTGGTCAAAGTGCTCAGTGCAATGTTAGATTTTACAATGGGTTTTAAGAAAACATTAGAAAAAAATAATGAATGCAGTATGAGCAACATATTTAATGGAGATCTTTAATGCAAGAGCTACTTCTCACACTGGCAGTGAAATCATGATAGCAAATCTGACTGCTGCAAAAACAAAGGACTGATTCAAAGTTGAGCCTGTTATACAGAGTGAGAAAGAGAAGGAGATGATCAATTTGGAATATTATTGCTATCTGTAGAACCTGTTTGGGAAACACGGCAGTTGCTGAAATTCTCTGATTTTAACTTATATATCAGAAATTCTGGGGTTACTTATGAACTTGCCTAAATAGAACCACTAGACTGGGTGAAACCTGGCAGTTGGTGTGTTCATTCATTTGTGTGGAAGGAAGGAATTTGCATGAAATGAAGCTTGTAAGATTACAATAGAGAGAAGAGTCACAAAATACAGTGGAAATTATATAATATGAATAGAGAATTGAGAAAATCTTTCTCCGTTCTAATTGTGGAATTGAACTTGCACTTTGATCCCAAAGAAATCTATTTTATTTTTAGCAACCTCATTTAGGGAATGCAGGATGGGAGTGAGCTTTGTTGTGAATTGACACAGCTCTTATTCTTATAATTATGGAAGATAGAACCTTTTGATAATTTTCACACATCGCACAGATATCAGCCAGTAGGTCTCGAGCTACCTCCTATCCACTCCTAAGACATGTTGCAAAGTAGAAGGGGTTACTATGGAAATATGAAAGAATTTTTCACTTATTTTTTTTGCTTTCTCACTCTGTTTAATTAGTACTAAACTACAATCATGTTCTGTGATGCAGACTAGCACGGGAGCGGCAAGAAGCGGTTGCAACGAAGGAAAAAACAGATTATAATGGTATGACAGATATTCAAAAATCTCTGAAGAAGTCTGGAGTTGTAGACTTCCATGTGAAGGCAGTGCCAGGAACAGAAATACCAAATCATAAGGTATGGTAAATGTAAAGGAAAGAAATGTAGTATATTGTTCCTCCACACTAATGGGCTAAATTCAAAATTGTATTGCTTAGCTAAAAAAAATTATTTAAAATTGCTACATTGCTTAAATACTTTCTTTTCATAAAGTTGTTTTGCAAATGTTATTGCAAACTTTGAAAGTTGTTTGCAAACAGTTTTGTAAAAGTTTATTGCAAACATTCCCCAAAATAATACTTATTTTATTTCTTTTAATAGGACTGGGTGGTTAGTAAATTTGGCAGAGTTTTACCTATTCTTCATCTGAAAGATCAACACAAAAGCAAAATATCCTTTTCTGCAAGATTTTACTACCCCAATTCCTAATATTCTCTAAATAATAGTATTTCAGGAGCATATTTCTTGCTGCCCATGTAAGAAAAAAACGCCAGACAAATATAATCAGTTTAAATATCTGTTGAGTGGCAATAGAAATGTATGAAAAGACATTAATAGTTCTGTCAAACTATAAAGTAATATTTCTTGAAGAAAATAAGAGGTCATATCAAAGCATGCCATCAGCTGCAATGATTCAAGAACACGTCCTGTAGATAGAAGCAGTACTCAGAAATTCTGGCATTTCCTTCTCCTTTCCAACCCATGTCATAAGCTCCTTAGTCCTCTCTTTTCTGGATTGCTCACTCATCTTCTATTTTTGAAACCATCAGATTTGATATCCTATTGTTTTTCACTGACTGAAGGGTAATTCTCACATTTTCATGCTGAGCATTTTTCAACTTTTAAAAAAGTTATTTATGACAGACTAAGATGGGTTATCTTTGTGCTCTATTAACATTTGTAATGATCTGCATTCAAAAAATTGAGCCACAGTTAAATGAATCACTGCAGTTGTTAAGTTAGTAGTATGGTTGAGTGGATCTGGTTCCCCGTTGATTTTGCTTGTCCCAACATCACAAAAGAAGATCACATTATTCTACGACACTGCAATAATCATAAATATGAGCCAGTTGCCAAGCATTTTGAATGTTGATCATGTGACATGGGGATGCTGCAACAGTGGTAAGTGTAAGACATGTCAAATTATTTTTTTCAGTGCTGTTGTAACTTTGAATGGTCACTAAATAAACTTGTAAGTGGAGCACTACCTCTATAGGATTTCATTTAAAAAAAAATGCTCTGGCTTTTATTTATTTTTTAAACCTCTCTAGAGCAGTGTTTCTCAACCTTGGCCACTTGAAGATGTCCGGACTTCAACTCCCAGAATTCCCCAGCCAGCATTCGCTGGCTGGGGATTTCTGGGAGTTAAAGTCCGAACATCTTCAAGTGGCCAAGGTTGAGAAACACTGCTCTAGAAAGTCTGAACTTTTACTTGTACAATGGTATTTATGTTCCTTAATGCAAAAACTAACATAATAAAATATGACCCTTCCAAATATTGCCAGAACCTTAAAAAACTAGATCAAGAACCTATAGATGCAGTTCCCATTTCGCAGCTCACTTGGCATCTGCAAGAAGCTGACAGTATCATGAGCAAGAAACGGCAAGGACAATTCCCTGAAGCTAAGAAGCCACCCAAAAAGAAAATGAAAATACAAATCAGTGACAGCCTAAGCGAAGTCGAATCAAACCCAGCAAATGTCGTCCCTGCAAAACTAATTCAGAACCGCACCTCTAACTCCAAGACGCAACCTAATCAGCACCTTTCAGGTCCAAAGCTTAAAGCTGGAACCATAGGTTCTAGGCATATAAAAAACCTGCGTTATGATGATATAGATTCAGAAGAAGAAATCAGAGCAATTGAAGCAAGCGAGAGAAAAAAGCACAAAGGTAATTCTAATATTGTGCCTGAGGATAATATGGAGGTTGTCGGTGATGACTTTAAGCTGAAATACAGTACTCATTGGTCTCTACAGAAAGCAAACACACACAGAGCCCAAGCGTGCAATGGATTAATAAGGCCTGCGGAAAATGAATCTGAGTATGATTCAGCTGACACTGATGAAATTATAGCTGTGACTAAAGTATCTGATGAAAAAGAGAGAAATGAATCTCTAGAGAGCTTGAAAGAAACAGAAGAGCAGGATGATGGCCAGCCCCCAAAAACCATCCGGGTTGCAAGGCCTCCATCCTCTGGTTCAAAAGGGTCTAAAGCGGGAGGAGAAAAAAGAGCAGAATCCAAAAAACGATCAGATGCACAAACTACTCTCGACAGGGGCAGATCTGAGAGTGAGGAAAACTCAGATCCGTGTTCAGATACAAGTGAGTCTGAAGGGGATGACGATTATGAATCCATGATGCAAAGTGGCTTCCGATTAGATCTTACCTTAGAAGATTTAGAGAATTTAGCTGGTGAAAGTAGTGAAGATTCGGAGAAAGATAATGAAATAATTCAAAGGACCACTCAACCCCAAGGCCGTCACTGTTTAGGTAGTAAAACTGGTATTGTCCCAGAGACCCCCACAATTCCCACCACTTCCAAAAAATGTATTTGCCCTGAAGAAATACTTGCTGAGCTTTTAAAAGAAGAGAGATGTGACAAAGATGATTTGAAACGAAAAGAGGGAAAAGTGAATTTTCAACCTTTCAAGGGACTGGGGTCACTGATTGGAGTACTGCCTGAGAGCGAGTTGAATGTAAATGTGAATGGAAAGAAACACACTTCTTCTGAACTCGAAGTGGAGTCTCTGAAAAGTGTTACAGAAGTAAAATATTCAAGTTCTGCCAGTAAGAAACTTAACTCTAAACCATTACCCTTGAAAGACTTGGATTTGGACATTGCCAAAGGAGGTCTTTCTGGAAACTCAAGTGATCATTCTGACCACCACAAGGCAGAGAAAATAAGCCACAATGTAAGTATTATGTCTGAAAGTGAACCCGCCAAACGTGGGAAGTCTGTTTCCAAGGGATCAACAACTTCCAGTCTTACACAGAATAAAGATTTAAATGGCTCTCCAAAAAATGAAGGCGGCTATTCAGCTTCTCCCAGAAAAACAAAGAAATCAGACAACATGGGAATTCAACTGCAGGACAATGAGAGAAGATTGGCAGCAATACAAGAGAGGCAGAAAGAACGGGAGCTCCAGAAAATAATTATTCAAGGAGCTCTGACCAACCAGGTAATTTTTGTTTCATTTGCCTATTTATTTCATTTGGCTTATTTATTTCATTTGACTAATGCTGGGAGGAATTGTGCAGTACTTACATAATTTGGAACTTAAACATATAGCAATATTTTTAATTATTTATTAATTATATTTACGTGGAATAATTCTTGTAGTTCATCATAACCTGAATTTTAACAGTAAACAAGCAGTAAGTAAAATATATAAATATTACTTCAATAATGCTCCATTCGTAATGTACTGAAACTTAAGCACATTTGTTAGAAAGTAAACGAGATTGCAGCATTTGGAGAGCACCAAAGCGAAGATAAATTGCACTTAACTATTTCCATCTATCGATCAGCACAGATAGGAAAAGTTTCATTTGTGGTACCTTTATTCTTAGCAAATCATTCAGTTGCAAGACATTTCTCATCTCTCTGGAAGTGAGAGTTGATGCAAAATTGAATAGGAAAGAGAGTGACTTATATGAAAGAAATTGAGATTGCTTAGTTGAGATATAGAAAGAAAACGAATGAAGATTGAATCATAAATAGCAATAGCAGTAGACTTATATACCGCTTCATAGGGCTTTCAGCCCTCTCTAAGCGGTT